ATTGTTTATAATTACATTTGGGTGTCTCAAGCAGTGGCTACAATTTGTCTCATTTGTTGTTGTCTGTACAAATTATGTAGGTTATACAATAATTTTACTAATTTAAAATTGTGTTATTCTGTTTTTTACTATATTTGTTTTTGTTTTATACTTTTTGTACTATTTGACTGATTTATTTTTTATCTTTGTCCATAAAATTGTTCAATAATTTTCAGTGACAATAAAGCATATTTCTATTCTATTCTATTCTATTCTGGTTCTTATTCCATTCTTTATTTAATATGGTGCCGAGGTAGTTGTATTGCGTCACTCTTTCTACAGGGCATTGGTAGACGTAGAGTTGACCTTCTGTTATCCTTTTCTTGCTAATTATCATAAGCTTTGTCCTCTTAACGTTTATATTGAGTCCATATTGTTGACTGTATTACATGATTTTGTTCATAAGTCATAACTTGTAGGTCTTTCAAGTTGTCCGCAACTACTATGGTGTCATCTGCATATCTGATGTTGTTTAGCCGGTAACCATTTAGCAAAAGACCTTTTTCAGTTTCGAGCAAAGCTTCAATAAATATTCTTTCAGAGTACAGATTTTAAAGATTAGAAAAGTTTACTGATTCCAGTAAATATTTCTAATTATTTTCAGACCTTGATTGTTAATTCCTGCTTCTTTTAGTATTTGCATCATCTTGGCGTGCTGTACTTGGTACCAAGTGAAGTTAGTCGTTTTGTCAGTAGATAATTGGCTAGTACACCAATAGTGAAAAAGTTATCAGTGGTAATGGGTCGCTCGCTGTTTTGGTATGGTTTTGCTAAATCGGTAACTACTCTATAATCTTGGATTTCTCTGTTTGACTTATAAAATTTTTGCCAGTATATACTTAAAGGATGCACAAATTACAAGACTTGGTATCACCATCTACCCAAATTTTAATACCATACAGCCCTGATTTCAATTTAATGAATTATTGAAAAGGACATTTTTCTCGTAAGGAAAGTAATTGTCCATCAATTGTAATACATTTGTATGGCTCGAAGGCCTTTTGATAGTTGCTGACAAGCATCTCAAATTTCTCTAAAATAAAAAATTTATTTGTTTCTTTCCTTTTTTCTCGGAAACTCTTATCAAATTTTAAAAATGCTCTGAGAAATAAACCATTTTTAGTTTTTATGATATACAGGGTAAATTAAAAATGCTGCAGTCTCTGTTGAAATATATCTTACGCATTTTCACTTAGATTTTGCGACAGCTTCTTGTGATAATAGTGTTTATTTTTAACCATTTTGGACACAATAAAAAGTGGAATTTTTGCTTATTTCTTTTCATTTTACATCTACATATATGTATTACATAATACTTGCAGATTTTTATTCTTTTGTGAACTAATGAGTCACATCTTACTTTGTTATAATTTCTTACCAAATAAAAATCACAAATTTAAGTTTATAACGAATCTATATTCAAATTTTCTTTAAATAATAAATTGATTAAAGAACTATTATATAAAAGAGAATATTAATTTCTAATTTCAAATTAACCTCAACTCTTCAGGTGGTTTAGATCTACAGTTTTTCCTTCCGAATAGTTACAATTTCCCATATTAATATGAAGTAAATATATATTGACGTTCACCTTTTACAAGCTAATAAAATGGATGGCAATGCCGAAGAACGGTATAAAAAATTTTAGAACCATCTACGCTGAAGTCAAACATTTATAGTGCAGAGAAAATTCATATTCTAGTCTCTAAAAATAATATTCTTGAAGTTTATGACCAAATTTTATTACCAAAAGAGTTTTATTTCATTTAATTTATTTGACGTAATAAGCAATGGTAAGAACACATAAAATGACCATAAAATTGATAATCGTAAAACATTTTTCCAGATATAACAGAATATGTAGTTTTTCATGGAAAAACCACATTCTTTATTAAAAAAAAATGTTTTTTTTTTTTAATCCAAATAAGTATGGTTCTGATAATAAATCTATATAAAAGACTATGATGACAAGTCACGCCGTTTGTCCAATAAACTAACGACGCCATCTAGGAAAGAAATCTGAACTACCACAATTTGACATTTCAATCATTATTTTTTTGAAACGATACCTTCAACTAATAATACTGCATTAATTACATATTTTTTACAACTTTAAATTTGATTTTTATTATTGATTTGCAAATCAATAATAATAATAAGTAATTTTTAATAATTTTGACAACTGCTGTGACGTGTTTGATTGCAATTAAATAGTTGATTACAATCAAGTTTTGATTAGCGTTCGAATAATCGGCTTTAAGGGTCGGTTAAATCAAAATTTAATACAAAATAATTTACAGTTTTGTATTAATTTAGATATAAACTTGTAGCGTCTCCTAGGAAAGAAATCTGAACAGATAAACTAATAGATTAATGAGGTTTTTAATTGTATTAAAATCAAGAACAATTACTCAAAGTAAAATAATAGAAATATATAAACAGAAATAAGATTAATATGTTTATCATAACTAGACAAATATCAAAATATAAAGAGATAAAATAATAAACGATTATACTTTACCTTATTATACAACATTATTGAGACTCATCATCACTGGAATCAGTAACCCCTAACTTAATATCTTGCACATGAAAATTACCAAGGTCCATACCGTTTAGATCCTTAAGGTTATATACCAATGAAGATAAAACTTTATGTATAATACACGGAATAAATTTGGGAGCTAATTTAGCAGAAAAATCATCCGCAGCTTTTGAAAGGATGTTATTTTTCTTCCAGACTCTGTCACCTACATAAAATGTTACATCACGTCTACGTAAATTGTAGCGTTTAGTGTTGGTATTGTAAAAGTGACGTATTCTCTTCTGAACTCCATTAAAGATAGGAAAAATATTCTCTAAAGGCTTGGGATCAAATAATTTATTGTTAATATTAAAAATATCATTAGATGTTTCTGTAGTAGCACCAAAGAGTGAACCATCAACAGGAACATTTCTAGCAAACTTTAGAAATGAAGGAGAAAATTGTGTCACTTTATGTTTAGCTAGACGAATCGCTTGGGCTATTTTAGAAATCTCCTTGTCCCAATCTTTATGATTGTCCTGAATAAAATACCTAATTTAATACCTAATTTGTACCAAATTTTTTGTACCTTGTACTTTTTCATCAAAGTTTTAAAATCTTTGGAAACAAATTGTTTTCCATTTTCAACTGCAAAGATCTTTGGTACACCAAAAATAAGAAAAACTTGATTTTCAATAAACTTGACAATAGCTTTAGAAGTAGCATTAACCGAAGGATGTATGTACAAACAAAAACTTTGTAAACCAGTCAGCAACAACTAAAAGATAACGATTTCCATTTTTATATCTATGATATGGACCAAGTAAATCAGCAAATAAAAACTGAAAAGGAAAATTAATATCACGATATTGTTCCATAAGACCAGTTTGAGATAAGTTCACAAAAAAAGGTCTCATTTTAGGCCAGTAATACAATTTTGAAATCCTAGAAAGGGTTTTAAAGACACCTATATGAGCAGCTGTAGAATCATCATGATAAATTTGCAAAATTTCGTTCCTATGTGGAGAAGGAACAAAAATTTTCCATTCTGGAGCAGAATCAGAAAACTTTGAGCTAGATAAAATATATTTATAAAGAACATTATTCTGAACCTTAAAAGCAGGATATAAGTTAGGATTATCTGTAACTTTTGCTATTATATTACTATATCAAGCATCTGTTTTTAAATTAGATAAATTCAAAAGAGAAACTTGAGATGCTTCAGGAATTCATGAAAGAGAGTCAGCTACTATATTTAAATAACCACTACGATGAGCAGAATTTAGTTGTGATTGCTGAATGTCAGAAAGATTTTCAGAACTGATAACAGTATTTACTACACAAGTAGATAAATCTGTAGTATTAAATGAAAAAATTGAGAAAATTGTTTTCAAATAATTGTATATTTTAATTTTCAATTTATTTATGAAACTGCTACTGGATTAGCTTACAAAAATACACGTATCAATTTAAAAACTTTAAATTTAAGAATTATTATTCTTTAGTATTTTTGGCAAACTCTGTTGTGAGTGTCAAGGATTTTCTACTTTAATTTAAAAAAATGTGATAGAAAGCTTTCACCAATTTTATTAATTCACTACCGCAGTAAAAATCTGTATCATTATTTCAAAAATGACTTTTCCCGGCCGATGTTTGTATGCTTTATATTCAGTAAAAGTATATTTCCGGTATGTAGGACAACTGCGTTGCTCCATTAACGGGTTTACTTTTCAATTAGTAGGGCATCCAAGGGTTGGGTGAACGACTTTTTGATGTAAACGATGTCACACCTAGACACGATATATGGATTTTAGTGAAAAAAATAGAGCACTCGTCCATATTAGGTCATCAATCATGGGCGTAGTGCTAATTTCAATACTTAAGATTTATTAATAATATTTACAATAGAGTTACTTGATTGTAAATTTATTGGTTATTATCATTTTGATTATTTAATCGAGTATGTTCATGAATATAATCCTTTAAGGTATAATGTAATCTTTGACCCAAGAGTTAAAGGCACATAACAATGCCTTATTTAAATATAATAAAAACAAAAGCCAAAAGAAAAAGCACTTGAACAGTGGTGATTACAAACTTAAACGTGTATCTGCCCAAAAACTTACATCGGTCAAACTAACAGAACTTTTAACAAACGTTTACTAGTACATAAACGGGTTTTTAAAAATAGTTCGAATTAATTTAAATACTACTCTTGTTAACAATTATTAACAAATATTAACTTTTTTCATATTATTATGTATCTCTTTATACATATACTAGTTTCTATATGTACGTATTTGTCTCTGTATCAAAAACAAGAATCCGATAGGTGATATTACGACTTTTTTAATGATCATACTATTGTGAAATTATAATATAGTATCCAAGTATTGTAAATATTGATCTAACCTAAAAAACTGTTTATTTGTTACAGAATGCAATAAATTAAAAGGCAAACATTCCAACGATTAAGTCAGCCAAAATGACATCGAAATTGGTCCAGATGCAGGTGAGTTTTCATTATTTGTTTTTTTCACCTTTAAGTACGTAAGCAATGATAATAGGTAATTACCAATTTGTTTTGACTACAAAACCTACACGATATGTGTTACAAATGTAAACTTCTATAAACAATCTATCCGTAGGAAGGTTATTTCTTATACAATGTGATGAATATTGATTACCCGATAAATGCTAAACAACTTAGTATGTTATTTTTATTTCACTGTAAAGTATTCATAAATATGTCTTTTCTAATATTTTTTTTTATTTGAAACTATTTTAACCACAAGGGTTATTAGCAATGGTCGATTTTACAGATAACATAAATATAAAAGAAAATAAAGGATACAATTAGATGATGATGATGATAGTGGGTTTGGCATGGAGACTAGTCCTTTTGCCACAGATTTTTAAATGATTTATGTTTATGAATTAAAACTTGATTGTACCAAATTTACATTATATATCCGGATGCATATAAGTTATTACATATAAGTTCGTATATAGGTTTCTGATTCAATGACAGTAGGTGGGTTATGTTTACTGGAAGTTGCACATTATTTTTAACCAGGTTTTCATAAAACGTAGATGAGAGTGCTTTATTTTTAATAAACCCAAACAGGATGTGATTCCCATCACACTGGGAAATATAATCGCATAAACACTTTCCTGATTCTATAATGTTTAATCTAGTTAGGTGAGCAGGAACAGCACTTTGACTAGTTTTTAATCTTGTGATAGTTGCTGCCGAACGTTTAGATATATTACAATGGAATATGTGTGGTAATTCTGTTAGGGATGGTAACGTAGGATGGATCTTGTAATAATGATTATTTGAAGTATTCGCTAATATTTTCCATCTGTCTTGCCAGTTAAAATTTATTTTTTTATTATAAAAATTGATTAGATCTGATACTGTGTAAATATGTTCTTATATACCTGAATGAGTAAAGTCCTTAGCGAGCTCGTCTACTATTTCATTAACTTTTATCCGGAGTGACTTTTTGCTCAAATAAATCTTACATCTTTGTTTCTCATTTTTTGTTTAATGTCACATATAAGCTCACATGTTTTGTGGTTTAACTCAGTATTATTAAGTCCACTAAGAATCGACTTAGAGTCTGAGATGATCACAGCAACTTGCAAATTTGCGTGCTCTAGCCAATCCAGAGCTTTCCTAATAGCTACCGCTTCTGCAGTGTAAATAGAGCAATGTGAAGGAAGCTTTATTTTAAGTGATTTGTTTTTGGAAGGAATATACACTGCAGACCCTACTTTCCCATCATTCAGTTTAGAGCCATCTGTGTAAATTATAGTTTTATTAGTATATTCACTTAATATGGAGTTCAACAGCTTGTTATTTCTTTGATTTAAATCTGAATATTTCGGAAATATAATATTTAATTTTTTGAAGAATGTATTAAATTCGAATTTATAAGATGGTTTAATAAAATTTGTTGAAATTGTAACCGGTAAATCATTGGTTTCCAGAAAGGCATCTGCTAATTGTGGTAAATTTTTTATTCTCCAATAATTGTTTACTAGATTGTGTATGGATAATTCATACAGCATACATAGTAAGCCATTTGTTCTAGCCCTAAATTTTAATATATATTTTGTTGGTAATAAATTTCTACGAGTTTCTAATGGTATTTCATAACTTTCAGCAAGTACCAGAGGGCATGGTGTTGATTTCATAGCACCCAAAGTTAATCTCAAACTTTTAAACTGAATTCGATATATTTCTAGTAAATATGTTTTGCTTGCTGATGCAATGCAACTTTGGGATCAGCACCCCATTTCCTGCAAGTGACACATTTAAGGAGATTGATGCCTTTCTCACATATTTTTTTACATATTGGACATGTTTAGACCATAGTAATTTGGGGTCTAGGATTATACCAAGATATTTATACTCAGTGACAACGGGTATATCATATCCTGACAGGTGTAGACTATCAGGCGAATACAATTAGATTTTATTAATTGGTCCTAAGGAAACCAAAAAAGTAAGGTACGATTGAAGTCACTATGTTCACTTAGAATATCTTTTATTGTTGTAGGTATCTGCTTATGTTGTCTTTTAAATACGTATAACGGATACTCCACTAACAAGTGATGTACTGTTGATCACTATCACACGTGTAACAAAAAGGTTAGGGTTGCTTCTGTAGTAGGAAATCATGTGTGATCTTGGTGTGTGCTAATCGTAGTCTTAAGATGAAGGTTTTTAGGTTGTCACACGAATTTTCTTTGAAATGTGTTTCTTGCAAACATATAATGGATAGATGAAATTTATTTATAAAAATTTTAAGATCTTCTACATGGGTATTTAGGTTTTATTGAATATTAGAAATAAAAATAATTGTAATTAATAAGTATCAATAAAATACTGAAAACTTTGTTTTCAAACTTCCACAAAACTTATTTTAAACTCTTACCACTACAGCTGTTTTGGCTGTTTGCCTTTCTCAAGTGATCTATTTTTGGCATGCGTTTACACTTTATAGTCTCTAATGAAATAGGTTGAGGAGGGGAGAACTGTTTGTGTCAAGTTGGTCATTCAGAATTATATCTGTGTTTTGTAATTTGTTGATTTCCATAGATTCTAATAAGGATAACTTAAGGCCTTTATTTTGAATGTAAAGAATTTTAAATTCGTCATTAAAAGAATGATTGTGATCTAGAAGGTGAATTGCGTATATAGAATCTGTTTTTCTGTTATTGAAAGCCCTTTTATGTTCTACTATTCGTTTATTAAAGTTTCTACCAGTTTGACCGAGGTAAGTTTTTGGCAGCCGCCACATTTAAGTTTGTTCACACCACTGTGTACGTGTTTTTTATTTTGGCTCTTGTTGTTTTTGATATATTGGCCTAGGTTGTTATTTGTTCGGAAAACTGGTGTTATTCCTTTCTTTTTTATGTTGTTTACCCTTGATTTGTTATATATGAAATAGGAAAATCAAAAATAAAGTTTTTAGTCCAGAAGCAGTAACACTTTCACACTTCACCTTTGTTTAAATTTTAGATATAAACAAAATTCTACATTTGAATCAAAAAAATTCCTTATTTTGTTCAAAATAATAAGCTAATATTAAATATCAATTATCGCTAATTGTTTATATGTTTACTGTTCGGTGATTGGTGAGTATGTGAGGGGGATGCTAAATTTATTTTTTCGGAATACTTTAAGTTCATTCTTCAATAATCTCTATAGATTTATCAATTTCTGACCGTCCCTTTAATTCAATCAATGTAGAAGTAAAAGATGAATCTATTTTGTTTGGCTAAGCATAAAAAAAATCCTTAATGTAATACGTAATATCTTAGAAGATTAATTACCGTTTCTCGTGTCCACCCAAGCGGTTAATAAATATAACTATAATTATCAAAAACAAAACCAAATTTTGTTGGACTGATGTGATGAACAATAACATTGTTTATCGTGGTGATTCATTTGCATGGATGACTTATCTGTAGAAGACAAATAATTTAAAATTTAAATTTGATTGAACAATACAGTATTGATCATAATTGTTGTGTCATAATTTTTTAAATATAAAAATAGTGTTTACGAATATCTTTTTCAAAACTGTTGATATTTTGGATGATCGACAAATAGTTTATTGTTTCCACAAGACAAGAAATAGTTGCTTTTAATAAAAGAAAGATTGTTCTGTACTTATGTTTTATCTAAGACATCCTGACAATTGTTTATTGATTTCCTACGAGTATCTTATACCAGTATCAAGCATGTATCCCACCGAGTTACCACTGGTTTCAGATGGTAGTGAAGTAATAGGCAATCTTTTTCTAAAAATATGCACCAATAAAGAAGCTTTAATAAAAACTTTAGTTGAATTTACCGAAAGTACTGATTATAGCCGGAAATGTCAAACATGAAACAAAAAATTTCGGTTTAGCAGTGTTGGCATGTTTTTATAATGTAGATGATGTTTCTTCAAATATAAAGAGATAAAGCTTTAGAAAAGTATTGTTTTGATACAAGTTTTGATTAATATACAACAAGAATGAGTAAATATTTGTTTCTTTAGAAATTAATTGAAATTAGAAATAGGTAAAAAAATATTAAATAAGACTTACTCACAATCAATTTAATTTAACTCAGACCCGGTTTCGCTTTCTATAATATGCAAAGCATCTTCAGGTCTCGATAGAAAGTTAAATAAATGCTGAAATGATAAAACCCATATTAGGGTGTTGTCTAATAAAGATAGAAGTTATCTGACAAATTTTAAGATTCAGCAGTGACAGTACTAGTAAGTAAATAATAAGTATTTATCCTTCAAAATGCACTGCTCAATTTTCTACAAAATATGTTTTAAGAGTCGTATCAGCTTTTTTAGAAACCAGATGTGAAACTTTTAATTTAGTCAGAATGTTTGGCCAACAATAATAGAATATTCACATCGTCTATTCAAAAACGAAGTAAAGACCCAATTATGACTATTAAATTAACGTTAAATGGAAAGTAAAAGTTGAATATAGCCGTACATATCAACCATAGAATAAAATATTTCGGTTTAACGGTGTTGGGATGTTTTATAATGGAAATGTTGTATGCTTCAAATATAAAGAGGGAAAACTTTTAAAAAGTACATTTTGAAAAAACTATTTTCGAAATTCTGCAATTTTTAACCCATGAAGGACTGGAGTTGCCATATGGCAACACTGGTATTGACGTACGAATCTTATTATTTTGAAGTTATGTTAGTTTGTTTTGTTTCCAAGAACGTGCCGGTCTGCAGAAAATAAGTGATTTGAAGATATACACCTAACAAAAACTTAGTTCGTTGGTGTTTATGAGATTTTATAGTCACCGTTTTTGATAGTTGTAAAAATGGATATAATTTGTGTATTTGTGTAAGTAGCTCAATTTGTCAATTTCTTCTGAATAACTATTACATCTAAGTGGCTAAAGTAACAATTATGCTCTAATAGAAAGGTCATTTTCCCTCTTTGAATATTTGACAACCCTTGAAAAAA